CTACATCGTGAATTCTGGGCCAGCCAGAGCTACAGAGCAACATCCTGTCCCCTGTTCCCCGAGATACATACATACACACACACACACACACACACACACACACACACACACACACACACACACAAACAAACAAAACAAAGAAACACCCCAAAAGCCACCTTTAATCTCAACACTCAGGAGGCAGAGGCAGGTAAATCTCTGGGTTTGAAGCCAGCCTGGTCTACCGAGTGATTTCCAGGACAGCCACAGCTACACAGAGAAACTCTGTTTTGAAAAACAACAAAAAAAGACATCTCCCCACCAAAAAAGAAAAAATGAAAGGAGGACCTGTGAGGTGGCCGTGTGGTTAAAGGTGCTAGCCACCAAGCCTGACGATCTTGAGTTCAATCCCTGGGACTGACATGGTGTGCACAACATGGTATGTGTGCCTGAACCCCCACAAATACAAATAAATGAATAAATATACAATACATTTCTTTAAAAAACTACGCCGGGCTGTGATGGTGCATGCCTTTAATCCCAGCACTCGGGAGGCAGAGCCAGGCGGATCTCTGTGAGTTCGAGGCCAGCCCGGGCTACCAAGTGAATTCCAGGAAAGGCACAAAGCTACACAGAGAAACCCTGTCTCGAAAAACCAAAAAAAAAAAACAACAAACAACAAAACAAAACAAAAAACTACAAAAAACAAAACAAAACAAAAAACTACAAAAAAAAACAACATGGAAAAGAGGGCCAATAGCTCAGTGGTAGAGCCCCTGCCTAGAATGTGTGAGGCCCGGAGTCCCATCCCTGGGCTGGGAAAACGGCAGCTAGCACAATGAAGCCTTGGCTAGTGGAGCTCACCTACAATGATTAGATAGACAAAAGACATGGATTCCATGCCCAGGGGTGATGAGTGCTCAGAGAACTCACTTAGGGCTTAAGGCAGAGGAGGAAAGGCCTGGTAGCCACTTTAGATAACAGCGGAGAAATGTCTCTTTGAGATAACACTAGAGCCTGGAGGCCACCACACCGGTTGTCCTAGGATCCTAGCAGCCACTGATTTCCTGTCTGCCTCTATAGATAAGCACATTCTAGACATTCCACGTCCTGGAAAGCAGGCAGCATGCAGTCCGTCCTGCCTCGATGCCTTCCTGGAGTCCGGCTGTGTTCTAGTAGTACCCCACAGGGCTGTGATGGTGGAGAAGGGACCGAGGGTGGGCTGGATGAGGGTGGAGAGCTCAGGAGGGAGAAGATAATGGTCAGCCAAGCCAAGGTCTCAGAAGAGTCTGGACGGGGGTTGTATGTAGTCATGTTTATGTGAAGTGGCATCTGTATGGGGTTAGTCTCTTAAAACAAACAAACAAAAAAACCCAGCCAGGTGTGGAGGTGCAGGCCCGTGGTCTCTGCTACTAAAGGAGACTGAAGTAGATTGGAAGTTCGAGGCCAGTCTGGACCATTAAGCAGAACCCTATCTCAACATGGGGGCGGGGGAGCTGGAGAGATTGATGGCTTAGCAGTTAGGAGCAGGTACTGTTTACAAAGGACACAAGTTCAAGCCCCAGCAGACACTCACAAACACCTGAACTCCAGCCCCGGGGCCTCTGACCTCCAGAGCTTCTGCCCTCACATGCACACACCCACACAGTCACACATGTATACAGAATTAAACTTAAAACCTTAGCTGGGCAGTGGTGGCGCACACCTTTGATCCCAAGGGCTTGGGAGGCAGTGGCAGGTGGATCTCTTGAGTTCAAGGCCAGCCTGGTCTACAGAGTTCCAGGATAGCCAGGGCTACACAGAGAAACACTGTCTCAAAAAAAAAAAATTAAACAATAAATAAAATTAATTTTAAAATCTTAAAAAAAAAAAAAACAGGGCTGGAGAAAAAACTTAGTTGAAAATGCTTGCTGCAGAAGTATGAAGTTCTGAGTTCAGTCCCCAGAACCCAGGCTAAAAATGAAATCCTAGCACTGAGGAGGTGGAGACAGGAGGATCCTGGGGCATGTTGGCCAGCCAGCCAAACCAAATCAGCACACTCCTGGTCCGGGAGAGACCCTCCAGTCCGCACACACATGCCTGCACACACCCCCTTACACATCCACGTGCGCGCACACACAATACTAAAAATAAAGGGGTGCTGGTGGCATTTAATGGTACAGCACATCGCTAACTTGAATGAAACTCGGGTGCAACTCTAGGATAGGAAAAGAATGGGGAAGGAAGGAGTTATTTTAGCCCCAGCAGCTGGGGAAAAGGATGGAGGCGGGATGGACGTGGGAAGAAGTATGGGGGTGGGGGTGTGGCTCAGGAGCTCAGTTCAGTAGTGAGTTTGGGGTGCCATCAGGCAATGCACAGACTGAGACCCCCCACGGGAGACACTCAAGAGCCCAAGGCTCCAGCTCAGCGAACAGGTTCAGGTCACCAAGGACCATAGTCCTCTCGGCAGACTGTTCAAGTCCAGGAAGTCCCAGAAGTATGACCAGTGTGCCAGCCACTCTGTCTCTCTCCAGGGACTCCAGCTGAGCTGCAGGGGTGAGTGTCTAGATGCTTCTGAGCTTTGGAGAGTCCACAGAACCTCTTGCTACCCAGGGGGACAGCAAGACTTTCAAGGCTTTTGTCCTCTAAACCTGGCCACTAGATTTAATGCATTGATCCCTCTGCATTCAGAGACTGATGTCACCAGCCTCTGTCTCCAAAATGCTCTTAACTTTGGTGCTGTTACTATGGTTTGTTTTTGGGTTTTTTGTTGTTGGTGGTGGTGTTATTGTTTGTTTTTTTGAGATAGGGTCTCTCTATATGTCCCAAGTTGAGCTCCAAACAATCCTCCGACTTCACACTTCAGAATGCAAGTATTCCAAGCAAGAGCCTCTATAGCGGTCCAGCTTTTGGCGTGTGTGTGTGTGTGTGTGTGTGTGTGTGTGTGTGTGTGTGTGTGTGTGTTCTGGGGTGGGAGAGGTCTTAGGGTGTTCTGTCATTGTTTTGCTGTTTTTTTTAAGGGGGTGGGTATGGTCTAATACAATCCAAGCTGGCCTTAAACTGTGTGTGTAGTGTTTGCAGGCTTTCAACTTCTCAGTCTCCGTCCTGCTTTGGCTTTCTAAGTGCTGGGGTTAACAGGCCTGTGCCAGCACGCCCGAAAAGCAAAGTCCAGCCCGGTGTGGTAGAGCCCACTTGTAATACCTGCACTTAGAACTGAAGCAAGAGGGTCAGGAGTTTCAGGGTAGCCTGCATGGGATGGAGAGACCCTGTTTCATCGATGGAGGATGGACTGAGAGATTGCTCGGGGGCCCGGAAGCCAGAATGGGAAATGAAGCCTCGCAGGCTCATTATAACTTACCCAAGGTCTCTCTCTCTTTACAGATACCCCAGCCCCCAGCAAAGGGGGCTCCAGCAGCCCCGAGTCCTGGGCCCGACCCTCTTGCAAGTTCCCGGAAGCCAAGGAGCGTGAGTCCCCGTCCCCCGCAGCCATGCAGCCTGTCCAGCTGCCCCGCCTGGCCTTGTCTCCACCGCTCCCTGCCCCTCCCCCGCCACCCACGCCGCTGGCCCAAGTGGCATCCTCATCCCCTAGTCCACCTCCTCCTCCTCGGCCCACCTCAGCCCCAGAACAGTCCCTGGACTTCCTGCGGGCTCAGCAGGAGACTGCCAATGCCATCAGGGAGCTGGCTGGCACCCTTCGGCAGGGACTGGCCAAACTGAGTGAGGCCCTCAGCACCCTGTTACCCCTTCTGCCGGGAACCCCAGCTGACCCGCTGCCTCCGCCCCCACCGCCCCCTCCGCCCCCACCTCCCAAGCCAGCCCTGCCGCCACCTGCCCCCAAGGTGGAGGTGGCCCGAGAGCCTGTGTCCGTGGTAGCTGCTGTCGTGGATGGGGCCGTAGTGGCAGCTAGGGGGGTGATCATGGCCCCTAGGAGCGAGGAAGGGGTGCCCAAACCACCCCCCGCTCCACCGCTTCCCCTCCACGACTCGCCACCACACAAAAGGAAGAAAGGCTTCCCTACACGGAAGAGGCGGGGCCGCTGGAAGTCTCCGTGAAATCTACTCCCGTCCACGTTCCTGCCTGCAACCCTCTCCCTGCTTGGCGCAGGCGAGGAGGAAGATGCTCTTTGCCTATCCCAGCTGCACCCTGGCTTTCTGCTCTAGGGAAGTGAGCACCCCACTTCCTGTGCTAGTTAGTGCCTGATTCTGTGGGCGGGACACCATCAGCCCCCTGTCTCTGGTACAGTGGTGTCTGCCTGACTGCCTCCCGTAACCCCAACTTCTAAGCCATCAATTTTATGTTGTTATATTATTGCCCCTTGTGGGGTGGGAGGGGACCTCCGGGCTCTGCGACATGCCCCTTTGCCTAATAGTTGCTGTTCTTGACTTGAAGAGAAGCATCGCGTGGGGGCCTCCCCACTCCCCCGGCCCAGACTTGGGAAGGGTGGGGGAGTTTGCTAGACAAATCAGAATGTAGAAAGCGGAGGACTTCAGGGAGTGGGGGGCGGGATTCTGACTGGGGAGGTGTGGGCTGGGGCCTCTGCCTCCCATTGCTGCGTGTGGGCATGTCTGACCTCCAGAGCTCAGCCCCCCCTTTTCTCCTCAGTGCTGACAAGATGTCAATAAACTTATTTTCATACAATTAACTTGAGGCTCCGAGAGGCCTCGGGAGCACAGCGTTTGGGACTGCTTCATCCTCTCCTGGAAGGCCCCACCCTCCCAGAGGCCACACCTCCCGAATTTGCCGCTCTCAAAGCCTTAACCAACCCTGGTGTGGAAGCCCAGAGTGAAGGTTGTGATCCCAGGTACTCATGGTGGCTGAGGGCAAGAAATCTTGAGTTTGAGGCCAGCCTGGACAACATAACGAAACCCTGTATTAAACACACACACACACACACACACACACACACACACACACACACACACACACACACACTAGATTTAGAGTTCATGTGGGCCTGTGTTAAGAGAGCAGTTTGATAAGCAACTTGGGTGGGTAATTTGGGCACGGACAGGAAATTGCTTGAGGGTCAGACTCCCAAGAAGTATACAGAATAAAATACAGGCTTTTATTAAGCGGTTTTAAGAACTTTTAGCAGGAGATCATGGCTCACACATGCAATTCCAGTAACAGGGAGGCTGACACAAAGGGATTGCCCGTGAGTTCAAGGCCGGTCTGTTGTTTGGGTTTGGTTTTTGGAGACAAGGTTTCTCTACTTGGCCCTGGCTGTGAGCCTTGAACTCCCTCTGTAGACCAGGCTGGCCTCGAACTCAGAGATCCGCCTGCCTCTGCCTCTGGAATACTGGAATTAAATGAGTGTACATCTTAGCCTGCAAAGCATGTTTTAAGCGGGGGAAAAAATCCAGCCATGGCTATGTATTTTTGAAATCTCAGCCCTATGGAGGTTGCAGCAGAAGGACCCAATGCTTCACGCCAGCCTGGGCCACGTAGTAAGACCCAGTCTCAAAACACAAAATACGGGTTATAGTACATCCTCGCGGCAGAGCACTTAGCATAAGGCCCTGGATTCCATCCCAGCACCAAGAATAAGCAAGCGAAAGTAAATAAACAGTAGTACACGAAACCAATGGTTGTGAACATAGTATCTCCCAGGAAACGACAAAAATAGGCAATTCGTTTAAGGGAGAAAAGTGTTAAAATAGTAGTGCAGGTGGTAGGTAAAATTGTGACGCTGAATTTGCAGAAAGCCAGGGCTGCTGTGACAACCTGAAGAGGGGGTGGGAAAGCAGGCAGCCTTCAGAGTGCAAACCCAGATGAATGCAAACCGACGGGACATTCAGGTATTTTTTGGGGAGCATCGGCGGGGACCCAGGCCGAGTGAAGGGAAAAGGCTGATGTGAGCTAAGACCTGACCACATACATCGCTTCTCCCCCATAATCTGGGAGAGAAAACATGGGGTACCCATAGGCAGACTGGGCCCACCAGCTCATTGGGCACTTGAGCGTCTGGCGCTGCCCTCCCGAGCAACCTGCGCTTGGCTCCCTCAATCCAAATCCGAGAGCAAAAGAGCCCCCGCACCCCTACGCAAAGAAAGAAAGAATGAAGAAGAAAAAAAAAAATCCTCTAGCGAAGCAAGGGGGGGGGGCAAGAATCTGGAAGGCCTCCCCCAGCCTCGCAGAGGAAGTGCGTCATTTCGTCCGTCTCGCAGAGCATTTTGGGAATTGTAGTGCGATTGGGGGGGGCGCTGAGACGCCGACTGTGTAACCCTTTGGAGACCAAAGCGCGTGCACAGCAGGAGCAGAATGGGCAGGCGCTCGGTGCACCTCCTGTAACAGACGAGGCCCTGGCTCTGCAGCTTTCAGTCCTCTCTGTCCTCATCCTGTTGCCCGTGGGCCTCCTTGAGGCTAGTACCTAAGGGCTCCGGGGGAGGATAAAGTGCCAAGTAGACACCCCTCTCCAAGACAGTTGCCTGCTTGCCTCCCGTCCCCTCGCAATCATCCAATCAGAACCTCTCCGCCCCATCTCAAAAAGCTGCTGCCTCCCTAACCCGTCATTGGCCCTTCTTGAAGGGGCGGGATTCTCAGAGAGGGCAAGACTGTTCTCTAAAACTGCTCAGCAAATCAGAGCATGTATGCTTTGCCGGATTCCGGGCATGGTGTCTCAGGACTGTAATCCCAGCACTAGGGAGTCTGGAGCAGGAGGATTGCAGCAAGTCTGAAGCCAGCCTAGGCCACAAAGGCTAGCCTTCTAGGCCAGCCTAAGCTAAGGAATACATCCCAGGTCTCAAAAAAGAAGGGGCGACAGTTGCATGCCCAGAACTCGTCCGCCCCAAGCGTTTGTGAACCCATGATCCGTTTCCCTGGACCCTGTGGGCGAACCCCGACTGATCACGGCGAGGCCCGGCGAAGACCGAAGAAGCACGCAGAGGCCCGCGCGCGCGCCCACTCTTCCCGCCACTGCTTTCTGCCCAGTCCCCTTTAAGAAGCAGCCCCGGCGGGACTACATTTCCCAGAAGGCTCTGCCCGCGCGTTATGTAACTTTCCCTGCGAAGCGGCCTCTGGGGCAGAAGAAGGAGGTGGAGGCGGCCGTTGCAGCGGCGGCGGCGGCGACGGCGGCGGCGCGAGCGGCGGGAG